CCCCCAGTGCGAGTGAGGGTGGGGAGGAGCTGCGGAGGGGAGGGCTGGGCCACAGGGACCAAAAGGAGTTTGGAGCATTAACAGGACCACTGGTCACACGGCTGGCTCCCGGTGGGCATGGGGGCAGTAGGGATGGCATCTCCAGGCCCGGAGCAGGAAAAAGGGCAGAGCTGCACATGCTGTTCTGTGGAGTAAGGCAGCAGAAAAGTAGGGGTTTTCTGGTTTCTGCGTTTCTAATCCCTCCCCTCAGGCCACAGGCAGAGGGTCCCATCAAGCCAGGGTTTGCTAGGCGAGGAGGCCCCAGGTGAGCTGTTGGCCTGGTGCCTGCAGGACTACGCTCGTCAGGACATTTAATATTCCCCTGGTACCAGCTCCTAGGAGTCTCCCAGGAGTGTCTGGGTAAGCTGATAGCCTCTGCCAGCCCCAGGATGAAGAAACTGATCCCCAGAGGTGGGCAAGGTGGGCGTGGCAGGGGACTGGCATTGCAGCGCTGCTTGCTGGGCTGGGCTGGGCTGGGCCAGAGGGTGGGGGTGGGGGGACCTGCCTCCCTAGGTGCTGGGTGCTGTGGCCAGAAATACAGAAACACAGGAGCCAGGAGCCTCCTGCCCTCCTGGCTTTCCTATCAGCTTTTTTTGCAAGGACTTTTCTACACAGGATGGGAATTCTGGGGCCCATAAGGCCTTTAAGTAAATCAGCATCAGTGGTGTGGGGAGGGGGCACAGGGGCAGTGTCCGGGACAGCTGGTTGATTCCAGTCTCCCAAAAGGCTGTGTGTCTGCTGTGGGCCCTCCACTGAGCTGCTGTGACAGGGAGCTCCCTGCCCCCACCAGCCCCGCCCCCACCTGGCCCTGCTACTCCCCTGAGGGTGAGGGGCAGGAAAGCTTTTCCCACCTCTAGCCTTGCCAGAGAGGTGTGAAGAGCTGGCGGAGTCAGGGCGGTGCTCTGGGCAGGACTGCAGATACGCCATGCACTCTTGGCCCCCTGGGTCTCCCTGGCATGGCGGGAGGGGGGTGAGTATGATTGCTTGCAGACTCCTAGGCCAGGCTGAGCAGAAGGGTGGCTTGGACCAATCCAGAGGCACCACAGAGGCTGGCCAGGCAGAGAGCCACCACTGCTGCCCACACAAGAGCACCCATAGGCCACCCGGGAGGGTGACCTGCCGGCCACGGCACAGGGAAGTCCACACGCTCTACTGGCTACAGCAGATGCGGGTGGGGGTCGATGGAGGGAAAGGCATGTGTGTGGGGACAGCTGCTCTGTGCTCTGTCCCCCTTCCCTGCTCTTCTCCCTGTTGCAGGGATTGGCAATCTCTCCAGCCCCCTTAGCAGGCTTCCAGGTGGCTTGACCATGGTGAGCCACCTGCAGAAGGCAGAAGGCCAGAGAGGGTGCAGTGTGGGTCCACACCCGGCTCTGCGCACCACACCCCTTTCCAGCAACCCAGCCCCTCGGGAGTGCCCCCACTCTGTGGCACCCACTGGACAGGCCCAGCCCCCAGAATCGCAGCAACGCCTCCGTCCTGTGGCCTTTCTAGCCTCGGGTGTGGCAATGGGTCCTGCTGTCACTAATCTCTGAGTTGCCTCAGTGTCCCCCTCAAACTGGCTCTTCCACCACCTGTTACCAACCCAGACAGTCCTCCCAAGAGTCTGGGAAAGCTCCTGTCCCCTCTATCGTGAGGATGGACCCCCTGGGTCAGTAGGTCTGGGGAGTCTGCACTTCTTACAGGCCCCGGGGAACACTGATGTGGCCAGTCCTTGACCACACTTTGAGAAGCAAGGACTGGGGAGATTTGGGTTCCCCTGATACAGTGTGTCAGGTGCTCTGCTGGGCAGCAGCTGCAAAGGTGAACAAAACAGACCTGTTTGCGTTCCAGGGAGGCAGACAGACATAGTGAGATGACAGTCGCTATAAAGGACACCACTGGTGAGTGTTCCCAAGGGTGGACAGGACGGCCTTGACGAGGTGGTGTTTGAGCTGAGACCCACGGCAGGGGACGGGGAAGGTTTCAGGAGCAGCGTGTGAGCAGAGGCTGGGTGACCAGAGGGACTGTGTGCTTTTGTTGGTCCGAGAGGAAGCCAGCCTGGTCACTAGGCACGGAGCTAGGCTGGGTCAGTGGCTCTCCCCACCTCCCCCCAGCAAGAGAGGCTGCACCTGAATGGGACTTCTCGAGCCTTCGGGACTCCCCTTCCCCTATGGCCTGAATCCAGCTTCCAGCAGGGTGTCCGGGTGCTGGCCGCTGGTGCTCTCAGACACATCCCCAGCGGCTGGCAACACACCCAGACTGCCTGGTGCTTAGCATGGCTGCTCATTCTGCCAACAAGGCCATCCTGGAGCGAGGACAGGTCCCTGGGAGGCCCTCAGCCGCCCAGAGTGACAGCAGCCTAGCCCGTGCACACGGACACTAAGAGGGGACAGCATGCCTCTTCCTGCTGACCCCTGGGGTTTTAGTTTCCCCACCAAACCCTCTTTCTATCCCTTCATTCCAGGTGACATTGTAATATTCCCCGTCACCCATTCGCCACACTAGGGCTCTGGCTCTGTCTTAGGAGACAGAAGGGGTAAGCACGAGGTCCTCTGACGGGACCCCTTCAGGCTGCAGCAGGCAGGGGCTGTAAGGGAGGGGCAGAGGAGAGGGGGAGCCAGGGAGAGGGGAGATGGGTGTGGGTGCCCCAGCCCTGCTGTCAGCACAGGGGCTCTCCGGGGCCACAGGACACACTGGCACAGAGTGCAGAGGTCAGGCTGCCCTCGGGACGGGCACTGGGAGAGGAGGCGACACCTGGGCCCTGAGACTGTGGGCACTAACCAGGGTGGGGGCTGTGAGGACCCTTCCCACCTGTGCCTGTGCTGAGACTCCTGGATGGCGCAGGCCCATGGGACAGCCATGGGGTGGCCAAGAGGGGCACTGAGAGGCTGGCCCCAGTCTGGGCCAAGCCTAGGGGCAGTAGTAGTGCTCAGGGGAGGGTACACAGCCAGGTACCCGGGAGGACAGGAGCCACCTGGTCCAAGGAGAGGGCTAGAAGGCCACAGGTTCCCCTACCCTGGGCCGTGGCTTGTGGCCAGGACAGCTTAGGCAGTGGTGGCCAGAAGGGACAGTGGCAGGCTGAGCTGCCCACCCAGCCCTCCTGGCTCAGCTGGACGGCAGGCTCCGGGCAGGGGAGCTGCCTAGTGGCTGTGGGTGCAGAGGTGAGGAGCACAGGATCAAGGGGAGCCCTCTCCAGAAGGGTAGGAGCACAGAGGGGGGATCTCAGTGTCACCCATCACACACAAGGGCTGCTGTGCAGTGTCGCCATGGAGAAAGGTCGCTGTCGAGGGAGCATGGGGGATTCCATTCCCTGGGCCTTTCTTTGAGATGCGGCTTTGAGGCCTGTGGCTCCCTGGTGTGTGACTCCCTGGCCTGTCTACCTGACAGACACTTTCCTGGACACCCCCACGCCACCCTCCTGCCAGCTACGTCAGGTCGGAAAGTGGAGTTGGATGTTGACTGGGACTTCATGTCCACTCAGAATTGCTGCCAGCTGAGAGGAGCTGGGAAACCCTCATATTCAAAGCAAGCAGCTGGCACGTCCACCTGCCACGTCCACACGGACCTTAAGGACAGAAAGCAAAGACAGTCCCTCAGCCTCACCCACCCCTCAGTGAGCGCCGGGAGCCAAAGGCCTGAAGTGGAGGGGCCTCAGGAGGAACTCTGCCTGAGGGTGGCCATCTGCTGGAAGCATGCCCCCAGCCCACCTGGGACCCTAGGAGAGCTGTTTGCAAAGACTGGGGGGATCCTCGGGGACAGGATGTCTTTTCTGCGTATCTTTCTGCTCCAGGACTCCATGCATTTCCGCAGTGTCTCAGGACACGGCCCCAAGTAGGACGTCCCTGGAAGCCCTGCAGACCCTGCCCAGTTAGCCCCCAGAACGCGGCCCGTGGCGGGCCCAGCGGAGCAGCCGTTCTGGAAAGAGTGCCCAGCCCCAGGCTCCCCACTGCCAGCTCCTGCTGCCTCCTGTAACAGGGGGTGAGGTCTGGGCCTGGCGTCCCCTGGCGTCCCCACCTGACATTCGGTCATCTGGGGTCAGGCCTGTAGGCCTGGGTGAGTTCCCAGGTCTCTTCCAGTTGGTTCTTTTTAAATCTTTATACTTCCATTAAAAAGTTTGGGGGTTTTTTTTTTGTTTTTTTTTTGAGACAGAGTCACGCTTTGTTGCCCAGGCTAGAGTGAGTGCCGTGGCGTCAGCCTAGCTCACAGCAACCTCAAACTCCTAGGCTCAAGCGATCCTGCTGCCTCAGCCTCCCATGTAGCTGGGACTACAGGCATGTGCCAACATGCCCAGCTCATTTTTTCTATATATATATTAGTTGGCCAATTAATTTCTTTCTATTTATCATAGAGACGGGGTCTCACTCTTGCTCAGGTTGGTTTCGAACTCCTGACCTCGAGCAATCCGCCCGCCTCGGCCTCCCAGAGTGCTGGGATTACAGGCGTGAGCCACCGTGCCTGGCCATTAAAAAGTTTATTATTAAAAAAACAGCAAACAAAAAATGCCTTGTGATCGCATCTCACCCTGACTGCTGCATCTGGCTCATCCCTTTCGCCTGTGAATGGGGTCGCCAGCCTTGGTTCCGTGCGGGGTGGTTGTGAGGACGCCATGGACTCATGGGGCCAGACGTGGGGGCAGGGCCCACCATGGGAAGGGGAGGCCGCACCGCACAGGCTCACCTGCACACGGACGGCTCTGCGGGGTGGGGGATGGCAGAGGCAGTTCTTGCTGAGTTCAGGGAAGAAAGCAGAGACTGGTCAGAGCGGAGGGTAAAGCCTTCTGCCCAATGTCTAGGAGCCCAGCCCAGCAATCCCCCCGAAACACACACACATTCACGCTACCGTCATCAGACCTTTGCAGACAGACACCCTGGGACTGTGGACTGAGCATGTGCAGCTGCCCACACCGCTACTTAAAGGTGGGGATGGCCCCAGTGGCTGTGCATTGCCATAACAGTGACACTCAGTGCTTTGTGCTTCACCGGACACGGAGCAGCTCCAGGCTGGGAGCAGGCAGTGAGCAAGCAGGGGTGCTGCGGCTGGAAGGACCTTGGGGGTCTGGGTCCAGCCAGAGTCCTGAGCTCCCCATGCCCTTGACTTCATTGTGGGCTTAAGCAAGGAGCACCTGAACTCAGAATGAACCCTCCTTCAGGGCCAAGAATGCCGCCGAGCCCAGCCCAGGAGCCCAGCTGTGTGGCCACCCCAGCCCTGGCCAGCAGTGGGGACAGCTCCCAGAACAGTGTCTCCAGCCTGGGCCAGCTGCTGCCCGCCAGCCCCACGGTAAGCCTGGGCAAGCATGTGCATGCACAGAGGCTTCCCTGCCCCCGCCCGTCCCCCTCGTAGGCATGCACAGGGTCTTTGACAGAGGGATGGGAAAGGGCTGAGCTCTGCGTGGCGTCCTGGGCACGTTATTGGACCTCTCTGAGCCTGCCCAACACAGACGGGCAGGAGAGGAGAGTGCAGGCAGTGTCCTCCCCGTTGGAGAGCATCCGAGGGCTACAGTGCCCAGCCCTGAGCACAGGGCTGGAATGGCCAGACATGTCCTTGGCGGCATCCATTCTTTTCAGAAGTTGGTCAGATGCCCACGGAGCCTTCCAGAGAGGTGGGCGTAACCTAGGCCTCTGGATTTGTCCAGCCCACGATGAGGTGCTGGGTGCCTTCTGCTGCCTCCATCACCTCACTAGGGCCAGGACCATACTCCACCAACTCCGCTGTTACCTGAGGAGGGCTGAGGGCACCCTCAGGACCCTGGGGTGCTGGTCTAGGTACTGGACAGGAGGAGAAGGCTCTGGCAGCTATAGGGGCCCTCAGGGCAGGACCAGGCTATCCCCTTTTCCCCAGAAAGGGATTAGGGTAGGAGGGGCATTTAAATGCCTTTGTAGTCACCTCTTAGGGTCATGACCTCCCTTCAGTGACCCTGGGAGGCCCAAGCTTTCTTTCTAAAGGGCATTCTTTCCTCTCTCATGCCCAGCATCAAGGCCACCCCCACCCAGTCGTGCTGTGGGGAATGCAACCTCTCCTTTACGGCTTGGTGGGGTGTGGGACTCCCGAGAAGAGGGCTGCACCCAGCTCTCCTGCCCAGCGTCGGGAGAGGGCTCTCGGAATGGGGAAGATGCACCAGGAGTTGACTCTGGCTTCTCCTCAAGGAAAGAGAGGGTTACCCAAGCCATGTCCCTGCTTGCCAGGCACAGATCTGTCTGTCCCACTGGCTTCCAGCAGGTGATCTGGGCCCGCTCCTAGAAGGCTTGTGCCTCTGTGCCATGGTGTAGGTGCTTGGGCTCCACCTTAGAAAGACACTTCCTAAAGCTGCACTTCCACTCGGCTTGGCCACTTGCCAGCTCTGTGGGCAAGTAGCTTTGCCACTCTGAGCTTCATTTTCCCCATCTGCCCTATGAGGAATCCTAACTCTGCCTTCTCAGAGCTATTTGAAGGTGATAGGGGACAATGTGATTCCTCATTTCTCTGTCTCTCCACAGGCCACTGGGGCTTGGGCTGCTGCCTGGGTCCCCTTCCCCACGGCCGACGTTCCAGACCACGCCCACTATACCCTGGGCACGGTGATCTTGCTGGTGGGACTCACGGGGATGCTGGGCAACCTGACGGTCATCTACACCTTCTGCAGGTGGCTGGTTGGTGGCTCTGGGCCCAAGGCACTGAGGGTGGCAGCCATGCCAAAACAGGGCAGAACGTGAGGGCAGGCACATTGGTACCAGCTCCGGCCAGGGCATTGTTGAGGCTAGGTGGGGAGGGCAGGGCCACACCCTCAACGGTCTCAGGCCCAGGCTTTCCTTGAGGCCAGGGAAGGGCCAAAACATGGTCTAAGGAAGCTTGATGGCAATGCCAATTGGGGCCCAGGCACACCCTCTACGGAGGGCAGGTGCCCCCAAGACTCTTGGGTCTCTGCCCATTCTGCCCTGCTCTCACCTGCCCCAGGGGGCATCCTGCCTGTGCCTTGAAGACAGCCATGGGCACCAGGATCCTTAAGCCCCTCTAACACCCCTGGAAACCACCCCCAGCTTGTCTCCCCTCTGTCCCCCTGGTGGGCTGAATGGCTGAGACAGACAGGCAGAGAAGTGAGTGCAAACCTCAGAGTCACACAGCCCCCGGCTGTACCACCTGCTGGTCGCAAGACTGGGCACCTCATTTCTGCTCTTTGAGCTCACTTTTCTTATCTGCAAAATGGAATTGTGATTTACTTCATGGAGTCACTAGGGGCTCAGTAAGTTTGCACATGTGCTTTGCTCCTAAATGAGTGTTCCCACCCTTCCTGTGCCACTTACTGGGTTTTGTGATCTGGAGCAAGTCACTTTACAAGTGGGTGCCTCAGATGATGACAGGAGACATGGTTGGTGACAGTGCCTGACCCATGGGACACTGTCGTCAGCTCCTCTGCCCCTTGCCACCACCGAGGGTGAGGACTGCAGAGAGCGCTGCGGCCAGCAGCCCCAGGCCGGACACGACCCTGGAAGGTGCAGATGGGAGGCTTGCCGGAGGAGGAGGGAGGCACAATAAGGGCACACAGGAGGAGGAGTTGGGGTGACACCTCTAGGGGGACCTTGGCCTGGAAGGATTCCAGGAAACGAGGTTTGTCCAAGGAGAGCGGCGAGTCCCGCAGAGGGATCCAGAGGGCAAGACTCTGAAATGGCCCAGACTCAGGAGGCAGGTTCTGGAGAGGCATGGCTGTCCCGCTTCTTTCTGAGGGGACGCCTTGGAGGCTGCCACTCAGCCCTGGCTCTGGGTTCAACAGCTGCTCAGCTGATACCTGCTGGACAGTGGGACAGGTCTGTGCCCCGACAGCTTGTGCCTGTCTGCTTGCACACGTGTGCATGCGTGTGCAGCACCTGTGTGTGTGCACACGTGGGTGTGGCATGTGTGTGCACATGCGTGGTGGGGGTGAGCCCCAGAGGTGCTGGGAAGCCCCTCCTAACAGCTTCCGACTCTCACAGGAGCAGAAGCCTCCGGACGCCTGCCAACATGTTCGTTATCAACCTCGCAGTCAGCGACTTCCTCATGTCCGTCACCCAGGCCCCTGTCTTCTTCGCCAGCAGCCTCTATAAGCGGTGGCTCTTTGGGGAGGCAGGTAGACACTTGGGGCTCCCTTTAGTTGGAGGGAGGAGCAGGGTGTGGACAGGGGACGTCCACAGTGGAGGGTGGCCCAGGTGAGGGGATAGGCCCTTCTCAGGCAGAGAGCGAGTGGCTGCCCTCGTCCCATGAGGGAGCAAGAAGGGAAATCTTGGGTTCTGATCCTGAGGCCTCCACCAGCCTCGGCTAGATGTGGCAGGTGGACAGGGTGGAGAGTGCTTGGGCCTCTCTTCCTGAGAGGTGAGGGCCGGAGTCCGGTACACTCCATCCCCAGACCCTCCCTCCAGAGGACTCAGGGCCGGGGCTGTGCCCACAGGCTGTGAGTTCTATGCCTTCTGTGGGGCTCTCTTTGGCATCTCCTCCATGATCACCCTGACGGCCATCGCCCTGGACCGCTACCTGGTGATCACGCGCCCATTGGCCTCTGTCGGCACAGCGTCCAAGAGACGGGCGGGGCTTGTCCTGCTGGGCGTCTGGCTCTATGCCCTGGCCTGGAGTCTGCCACCCTTCTTTGGCTGGAGTGAGTGGGCTGGTGGCATTGGGAGAGGGGCGGGTAGGCTGGGAGGGGCACATTCAAGAGGAAGTAGGTGAGTGGGTCAGCCAGCTGAAAGGAGGGCCCAGGGACCACCTGAGCCTCAAGTCAGATAGTCAGGGGACATGACTAGCTGCAGGGGAAACTGAGGCTGCCCCATCAGAGCCAAGGGATCACCTTGAGCAGACCATCCCCAAATACAGAGGGTTCCTGTGTGGGGTGAAGTGACAGGTGCAGCTGATGCTGGGTTTGCAGTGAGTCAGACTAGGCAGAGGCTGGGGCGTGAGGCCTCAGCAGGCAGAGGACTGAGCAGCAAGAGCCAGCCCCTCGGGGGCAAGCCAGCCTGCCGGCTGAAGCCTTGATGAGCCTGATCCTGGGGCTATGATGAGGTCTCTGCTTCAATGTAGCAAAAATGGGCGGCAGTGGGCTTTGCCTGCTATCTCCTGAGCTGGTGCCCCTGCCAGAACCCACTTAGAAAGGTCCACAAGGCAGGGCTGGGGCTGGGGCCAGGGCTGTGTTTGGGCACTGCAAACCCCACATACAAAGCCTCTGTTGGATAAGGAGCCCTAGTCAGTGCCGCCCTGAAGGCTGAGCGCCTCCCCTGGCTCCCAGGCGCCTACGTGCCCGAGGGGCTGCTGACGTCCTGTTCCTGGGACTACATGACCTTCACGCCGTCCGTCCGCGCCTACACCATGCTCCTCTGTTGCTTCGTGTTCTTCCTGCCCCTGCTTGTCATCATCTACTGCTACATCTTCATCTTCAGGGCCATCCGAGAGACTGGCCGGTAAGTAAGAGTGGGTGTGGAGGGGGGCTAGGCCCCCGCCCCACCACTCACGTCTGTACCCGCCCACCAGAGCGTCCCGCTCCAGGCAGGCAAAGACAAGCTGAGCATGTGCTTATGGGCTGGGGTGCTTGGGGAAGGCTCAGGAAACAAGGCCTTCTGAAGGGTGCTTTTAGGCAGGGCTGAGGGGTCAGAGATGGTGCCACAGGTAGAACAACAGAAAGGCAGCTGAGGCCCGATGTCATGGGGAACTTTCTAGAAATCAGGGCTACCTGTGCTGGAAGGAATGATCCCCTCTCAAGTGCCCCAACGGTTGTCCAGGGAGGCTCCCGGCAGTAGTCATGACCCTGGCACTCGCTGCAACCCGAGTGGGGTCAGACCCGCGCTATGTGCCCTTCCTAGGGCTCTCCAGACTTTTGGGGCCTCCAAGGGCACCAGTGAGTCCCCGCGGCAGCAGCAGCGGCTGCAGAACGAGTGGAAGATGGCCAAGATCATGCTGCTGGTCATCCTCCTCTTCCCGCTCTCCTGGGCCCCCTACACTGCTGTGGCTCTGGTGGCCTTTGCTGGGTGAGTAGAGGCCAAGGGCCTAGGGCACTAGGGCAGAGGCTGTGGGGCACGGGGAGGGGCGGGAACCTGGGCAGCCGCTCCCACCCACCCAACCTGGGCCAGGTGCCCTCATACCCTAAGTCCAGCCTTGCAGCTTTGTTCTCCCTTCGGAGAGAGGGTAGGAGGCTGCTGGGCTCCTGGAGGCACTAGGCCACATGCAAGGGAGCGCTGGGCCGCACTGGATTTGGCCTGAGGGCCTGCCAGGCCCCTTGGGAACATGTAGCTCTCCCAAGGTTTCGGTTCCCTCTTTGCCTGGCTGTGGACACATAGCCAGGGGTGCTGCCTACCTCCAGGACTGAGTTAGATCCCCAAGATCCCTGAGAGCTATCCTTTCATCCTTTGTGGCTTGAGTCCGGGGACTTAGACATCTGTGGCAGCAGGGACAGGAACTAGACTTCAGCAGCACTTTGGGGACAGTGAGGGCTATTAAACCTTGCAAGTGTTTGGGTATGGGATCCTCTTGTGTAGGAATGGGGTCCCCTTCGGGCCCTACTGTGGGGTTTCTGTGCAAGATTGGGAAGCAGTGGGCATCAGGGCTGGGGCAGGGTGTGGGAAGAGCTGGGCAGAGGGCCTGAGGCCAGCGTCGACGTGGGGAAAGGGGAGAGTTGCCAGCAGCACAGGCTCTGAGGGACAGTGGACCTGGTGAACCCCCGCCCAGGCCCGGTGCATCTTCCTTGGAGCCGTGCCCTCAACCACCCCAGCTCCCTCCCACTCACCTCCGATCCGAACTCCCCCAGGCCCTCCCCGTGGGGCGGACTTGGATGGGCTGGTTTGGGCCGGGCCAGGGTTTGGGCCTTGGCAGGACCTGGCCCAGAGGATGAAGGTTCATCGGGAGAGCCAGCTGGTGTGGGAACCGCACCTTCTCTGCCCTAGGTACGCGCACATCCTGACGCCCTACATGAACTCGGTGCCGGCTGTCATCGCCAAGGCCTCTGCCATCCACAACCCCATCATTTACGCCATCACCCACCCCAAGTACAGGTGCAGCACTCTCCCAGACCCCAGGGCCACACCCTGGGCCCAGAGGGCCTGGGCCTGCAGATGGGGGTGGAGGTCACCATCTCTTCTGACTCGAGGGTGTGTGCTGGGTGGTGGCCACTAACAGCTGGGAGCAGCCGGTGACACTGGGTGGGGTCTGGAGTTCCCAGGGGCTTAGCCTGGAGGGACGTCAAGGTTCCCTGGGCAATGTCCATCCTAACTATGGGCTCTTTGGAGGCAGGGTGTGGGGCAGGCAGGACAGCTGATCAGTGGCACTGACCCTGTAAAGTCAAATCCTCCAGATGGCGACATCCTGGAGAGACCAGAACAGGGAGCTCTCAGCTCTGCCTCCAGGGCCCTGGTGGCCGTGGGTGGTTGTGGTCCGGGCACTCTCCTGACAGCAGTCCGGCCAGGCCGCCTCGGCCTTAGTTCTCTCTCTTGCCTGGTGGTGTCAGTCACTCACCGCCCTCCCGAAGCCAGCTGTTGGCCTAAGCCTGTCCGGCACAGAGGCTGCTCAGGAGAGTCCCCAGTCCCCATTCACAGACATGTAGCTTGGGCCAGCCACTGAGGGCTAGAGCTAACATCCACCTGCTGAACCTGTTACCCAGGCTGTCCCTCCAAGCCTACTGCCCAGCGTCTGTCTGTCCATCCTCGTTACTTCCCACGGCTCCCAGTGTCTCTCTGTGTCCTCGTAACCCCAGTGTCTGAACCTCCCCTCTTCCTCTCTGAGTTCTCTGTCTCCCACATCAGCCCTGTCTTAGTCTGTCAAATTTGTCCCCACTCTCCATGGCTGTCACCCTAACCTGACGTGTGGACCCTGTAGGGTGGCCATCGCCCAGCATCTGCCCTGCGTGGGGGTGCTGCTGGGTGTGTCACGCCAGCACAGTCGCCCCTACCCCAGCTACCGCTCCACCCACCGCTCCACGCTGAGCAGCCAGGCCTCCGACCTCAGCTGGATCTCTGGACGGAGGCGCCAGGAGTCGCTGGGCTCTGAGAACGACATGGTAAGGACATGGGCCATCACTGGCTCACTCCTGACCGTGCCTTCCTCAATCAGTCCTCAGGCCTGGGGACAGAGGCACAGGCCTCAAGAGAGACAGAGCAAGAGCTAGCTCGGGGCCCCTCGTTCTCGGCGCTCAGCCCCTCCTCCTGGGAGCCTTGAAGGGCCCAGCAGAGGCAGCGTAGGGAGGGCTGGCCCTGGAGTTGGGAGACCTGGCTTTGCCCTCAGCTTAGCACGTTGTCACTGTGTGAGCTCGGGCAGGCCCCTCACCGCCCTGAGCCTTCACGTCCTTCTCTGAAAGAGAAAGCAGTCGTCTGTCTCTACCTCCGACACTGGCCAGGGGGCAGGGGCAGGGCGTGTGCCCGGGGGTGGGTGCTGACCCCACAGCTGGTGCTGGCTCCGGGAGCCTCCAGCCTGGCCCTCCCTGGGCCTGCAGCTGCCCCCGGATGTCCCCAAGAAAGCTCCCTGCGCCATGGGCACCTGACCCTGGCCCCCACTGGGCTCCTCCATCATTCTGCCCACAGGGCCCTCTGTGGGCCTCACTAGAGCCACCACTGATGGGCCGCCAGCCATCTCCTCCCTCTGCCCAGCCTGGGGGTCTTGGTTGAGCGGCTGAGGGAGGAAGCATCCGGGTGACAGTTCCTCCCGCATCTGAACCACTGCAGTGAGCAATGAATGAGGAGTAAATCTAATCTGCTAACGGAGGCCTCGACCCTCATGAAGACCACCCATCTACCCAGAAATATAAGCACCCGCGTGCTTAGGAGCGTGTGCAGCCACACCCACACCCTGGCACAGACGCGCACAATTTGCAGGGCTTTGGTGACCAGTAACTGTGCAAACGGTGTCGTGGCGGGCCCCCGGAATGAAATATCCGTGGGGAGGATGGAGGCGGTCTTGGTGGAGGAGGGCAGGAGCAAAGCTGCGGGCTGTCCCCTCACCTCACAAGCACCCTCCATCTTCCCCAGGGCTGGACAGACATGGAGGTCGCAGCCGCATGGGGGGCTGCCCCACGAGTGCGTGGGCGGTGCCCCTATGGCCAGGGCCCGGAGGACATGGAAGTCAAGGTCCAGGGACAGGAAGCAGAGACTCCAGGGAAGGTGACTGGGCCCAGTGCCTGCCAATCTGTAAAGGGGTGGAGGGTGAGGCAAGTAGCCCAGGGAGTGGCCCGAGAGGGGGGCTTGTTCTCGCGGCAGACCCATGCCCTCTGGGAATCGCTCCTCCCCACACCTCACAGCTGTCCCTCGCCCACCTGGGGCTCTGTGACTCCAAGACGCTGTGAGCAGGACCTGCGTGTGGTCTGTGATTGCTCTTGGGTGTGTCCGTGTGTGACTGTGCTATTGGCTGTGTTGTACCATGACAAATGGATAGCATGTGTGTAAGCATGTGTCCATGGCGGCGTGTGGTCTGCAGCCAGAGGAGCATAACTCCTGTATGTGTATGACCATGTGCCTCGAATACCTCTCTGTCACTATGATACCCCAGGACATGTGACGGAGCGTGCCCCAATGTGTCTGCTCTGAGCTGTGCGTGTGACTGAGTGTGGGTGGTGTGCACCTCTCTGTGTGATCGGAAAGTTAGACATACCTGGGGAGAAGGAGGCAGTGAGCTGTGTATGTGCTCATCATGAATGCCCCAAGATCAGGATGTCACCCAGAATACTTGTGGCTATTAAAAGAAGGCCAGCTGTCAGCCCGAGTGCCTATGGAACGGAATGTGGATGGCGATTAGAGAAGGCCGTATTCTGGAACGCTGGAAATACCGTGTGCACAGGCCCCCAGGCAGCCCTTCCCCCTCGGCTGACAGCTCCCCACCCTCCCCTCCTGTCGCACCCACCCCAGGTGGGCTCCTGGGCTCTCTCAGGTTTCCCCAGCCCAGCCAGAGACTAAAGGCACACTCCTGCCCCCTTCCCCAGTGCTGGGCCCCTGCGTGTCCCAGAGAGGGGCCCTGGGCTGTTCCCTGCAGCTGGGGAGACCCCGCCTCTCCCAGCATTCTCTTTTTTGTTTGTTTTTGAGACAGAGTCTCACTCTGTTGCCTGGACCAGAGTGCTATGGCATCAGCCTAGCTCACAGCAACCTCAAACTCCTGGGCTCAAGCAATCCTCCTGCCTCAGCCTCCAGAGTAGCTGGGACTACAAGCATGCACCACCATGCCAAGCTAGTTTTTTCTATTTTTGGTAGAGATGGGGTCTTGCTCTTGCTCAGGCTGGACTTGAACTCCTGAGCTCAAATGATCTGCCCACCTTGGCCTCCCAGAGTGTTAGGATTACAGGCGTGAGCCACCGTGCCCAGTCCTCTCCCAGCGTTCTCCCCAATGGGGCACTGCTCCCTGTCCCAGAGCCTGGGCACTGGGCTGGACAGAGGCCTGCCTGGCAGTGACTTCTAGGCTGCCATTCATCAGGCAATGATGAAAGACACGGTGTCTATCCTGGAGGGCTGCTGGGCCGGGGTGTGGACAGGGAGGGCCAGCCGTCAACAGTCACCAAACACGTGTGATAAGCACTGCCATGGTGGGAGGGTGAGCACGCAGGGTCCTGAAAGCAGATGCAAGTCCTCCGGCTCCTCTGGGGAACAGGAGGGGGAGGGGAGCGGGATCTCCAGGCATGGAGGTGGGGGTGGGAGGGGGCACTGAGCCGTCCTGGAACAGCCTGTGCAAGTGCAGGGGGTGCAGGGGAGGGAGCTCGGCATATCCCAGAATGGGATATCTCTCTGTGACCCTGGGGATTGGCAGCGGGGGACACAGGGACAGGAGGTGGCAGGAGCAGTCCCAATTAGGGACTGGCCTAGGACCTGACACAGGGACAGGGAGCCCTGGGAGGGGTTGGGTCAGCTTTGCCTGGTGAAGATCAAAGGAAGCTGGGGCCCCAGAGCAGACAAGGAGTGACTCATCTAAGGGCAGCAGGGGGGAGAGGAGATACCAGAGGGAACAGGATGGTGGGGTGAGGGTGAACTTGGTCCAGATCCCAGGAGTCCAAGAGCCTGGGGACCATCCCAGGAGACACTTTGTAGGCAGCCTTGGACATTGCTGGCTCCTACTGCAAGATGTGGTCTCTGTTGGAAGGCCCATCCCTAACCCAGGATGCAAGCTGGCCCTTCCACGCCACCTCCCTTCACCTCTCGGTGCCCCAGGTGTGGCTGGTGATCGGAGACTGCTCCCGGTGGGGTGCTCCTCTGGCTAAACAGACGTGTGCTATTTGTTTGCAGGCCGAGGGGCTGCCCCCCTGCATGGACCCCAGGATGTAGATGCCCACTGGTTCCCCCTTTCTTCTGGGACATGTCCAGCCCTCTCAGACACACAGACCCAAGATTGCCCTGTGAGCCTGCAGACTTTGGAAGTGACCCTGTCACCTGTGCTGTGCCCCAGCCCCGAGTCCCCTCCTCACACCACTCCTGCCTGGCTACATGCTCTGCAACTACTCCCCGGCTCAGCAGCTGCACCCGGGCTCAGCCTGAAGAGCGTGTGCCCAGGCCCTTCTGCTTCCTGGAGTCGCCTGCCCCTGCTCAAATGCTGTGTGCTCCAATTGTCTGGGGAAGACAATGGTGATGGCTCCAGGGGACACCAGCTATTTATGAGCGAGGCATCTTGGCCAGCCTCTGTGTCCAGGTTGGGCATGTCACTGGCAGGGGAAGGCCAGACCTGCATCTCCCGCTGCCAACAGTTGAAGCTGGGCATGGACCTCACTTTGCTCACTGGAAACAGTTACTCACCGCGGGCTGCTTCTCCCAGCTTAGGCTCCTGCTCACTTTGCGCACTGGAAACAGTTACTCACGGCGGGCTTCTTCCCCCAGCAGACATTCCCACCGCAGCCCACACTCTCGGTCACATGGCATTGCAGACACACGCTCCCATAGGTACCTGTTTGTACGCACACCGCGCACACACGTGCACACTCTGCACCTGCGATTTGTTTCAAATCAGTGGTCTGAGTTCATCCCAGGGCTGTGTGGCTCTGACAGGGTAGAGGAAAATAAAAAGCAGAGAAGGTCTCCTTGGACAAACGTGGTCTCTTCCTGTTGGTGCTGTGATGGGAGAGAGAAGCAGTGACTGGCCTTGGGTGCCTCCGGCAGCTTCACTTCTTCCCTTCCCTCTGTCCCCCACCTTGGGACTCTCACTCTGAAAACCCACTTCAGACTGCAGAGGGCAAAGAAGAGGAGGGACAAAGGCCAGGCTGGCCCCCACCCCCACTCCCCAAGAAGCTGCTGAGTCCCGCCCAGCCACGGGTACCAGCTGCTCTCCGACTGGCCTCGGGTCTCCCAGGGGAGGCAGATGAAGGGAGGCCAGCCTTCCCCTTTAAGAGCATCCTCCTGCCACCCCTCCCTTTCCTCAGAGGCGAGCATCAGGCAGGGCCAGAGTCCGGAGAAAGAGCCTGCAGCTCCAGGTACAGCCTCCCCGGGCTCCCGCTCCCCACGCAGGGTGAGTGCCTTCCTTCTCCCACAGCGGTCATGCCCTGCTGCGGGGCTTCCAGCCCGGCAGGACAGACACCCCTAGGAAAGGGGATAAGGCTGCAGCCAGGAATAGATGGCAGGGGCCTTGCAGAGGCGGGCAGGAATGGTTTGGGGAAGGGACGCGGGTGCTGGCCAGGAGCTGCTGGCCTCCTGGGCCAGGACAGGCTGGGAGGACAGGCTGGGCTGCATGGCACAGGGCAGAGGAGGTGGTGAGGTGAGAGGAGAACACAGGGCCCTCCCTGGCTTCTTCCACTTGATATTTTTGTGACCTTGGTCAAGTTACCAAATGACCCTGTAGTGTGGGCTCTCCTGCCATGCAACTTGCATGCGCCAGGCCCCAGGTGTGAGGTCGTGGGAAGTTACTCATACCCGGGCCTGCACTGACTCCTCGGGGCCCAGCTCAGAGCCCTCCTAGAGAGCCAGCAAGCAGCCAACCCACTTGCTTTCCCTGAGCCTCAGTTTCCCCAGCCAGGGGGCCAGGATGGATCTTGATCTATTTCTAGACCACACAGGTCTGGAGGTCTTCCTTGGTCCAAAATGGCTTGGTCCAAAGACCACACTGGCAGGAGTCCTCAGGGCTGAGGCTCCCACCCAGAACACACTGTCTCCGGGTATGGGCTGAACACACCACACACGCTTCCCCCTCCCTGCCCCTCTGGCCCTGTGTCCCAGCAGCTGAGCAAGTGGTGTCTCCTCCTGTCTTCCCTGCCCCCTGCCATTCCTGTGCAAAGGGCACGGGGGCCTGGCGTGCAGCACTGGCAGCTGGAGCTTTCCATGCTGCTGTCAAGTTTTCCAGAGCGCAAATGAGACAGGAAAGCTAGGAACAACTGGCTGGTCCCCAGGGGGCCGGCGGGGGGGTGCACAGTGGGCCTGTCCCAGACCTGCCTTCAGACCCTGTGCCAAGGGGTGTAGGCAGGGGCCCAGTCCCCAGGGCCAGGGTTTGGGAGGCGTCTGCAGCCCCCTGGGAGCCCATTATCTGGTGAGAGTCCCACAGGAAAGAGCCTGGGTCCACCTCATGTGACCTTGGAAAAGTCATCTAACCCCCTGAGCCTTGTCTCCTGCAGGCCAAGGTGGCAGCCCCTCAGGGTCCAAGGGGGTAAAGGCATGAAGGCTCCGTGCTGAGCTTGGCTGTGCCCAGGGCTGCTGCTATTATATGATCACCTTTATGGCTAGACAAGCCTGGGCCAATCACAGGTCTCCTAAGCTGAGGCTTCTTCCAGACCAGCTGGAGGCTCAGCTCAGTCCTGGGCACCTTCAGGACCCCATGTTGGATAAGGCACAGCCTCAGAGTCCTGGGCAGGGAGCACAGGGCAGCAAGGCCCCTGCCCACGGGCCTCAGCCCACGGTCTCCTGGGCAAGGGGTGGGTCCTGCCGAGCAGAGAGAGGAAGTGTCTGGGTTCTCCAGAGGGCGGAGGGGACCAGAGCACCATCTCTAACTTACCCAGGCCCTCCTTCCTTCCCCCTGGGGGGTGCTGGGTGCTGGACCCCCCTCCCCAGGGGCTATATTAGCCGCGTGAGTCACGGTGGACCGGCTGGGAGGCTGCCGGCGGGCGGGCACAGTGTAGGGTTACAGTCCATTTATGGGCGCAGCCGAGGGCAGATATCAGTGTCGATGGCATTCACTCCCAGCTATTCTTAGGAGACTCTCAGGAGCTCCGCACAGCCTGGCTGGGCAGCAAGGGACTGAGCAGGCAAGGCTGGGGGTCGGGGGACGGGGCAGAGGTGTGGGCTGGGGCGCTGGGTGCGTGAGTGCCCTTGCACTCAACTCTTTCTGCCCTTTGTCCACAGAGGCGGCCACTGTCAGCACCAGCATGTCTTACAGTGTGACCCTGACCGGGCCCGGGCCCTGGGGCTTCCGTCTGCAGGGGGGCAAGGACTTCAACATGCCCCTCACTATCTCCCGGGTGAGTGCGCACTGCCCACGGCCTGGCACCTGAAGGGGCGGGGCACGCTTAAAGGAGGGCGTGTGTGTCCATCTGTCTGTCTGTCTTCTCTTAGGCTCTCAGAAAGCAGAACATGCCACATCCACAGTCTGGGGGCTGAGGCTGGACTGGTCCCCTGGTCTCAGCCACAGCTGTTTGCCCACACGAGCTAGCTGGCCTGTTTAAGTGCCAGACACCATGGGCAGGTGGCAGGTGTTTTGAGCAGAGAAGGAAATGATGAGTCTTCAGGGTGGGCAGACAGGCAGCTGGGCAGAGAGCACAGCACCTTCCCACTCCCTTCCCTGGCAGGGTGGGCTCAGGGTGCCCCCAAGCCTGGAGCATCTCCCCAGAGGTGGGCAGCTGCTTTGGAAAGAGAACATCCCTAGCATGGAGAGGGCAGGTGACGGGCGGGTGAATGCATGGACAGACGGCTCACCCTGGCTGCCTTGCTGCCACGGCAGGGGCTGGGCTGGACTGTTTCTGGGCTCCAGCACGCACTCCAGCCCAGACCTCCTCCCACTGCTGAGGGACCACGCACAGTCGGCCTCATGGGACTGGGCCTTCCTCCCTCACCTGCCCATGCTCCTCCCCGTCCAGCGTGGCTGCTTTGCCTGCCTGTGCGTCTCACATCTTGTTCTCCTGACGTGTGCCTGGGGATATGGCCCCTGTGCCCTATGGTGTGGCGTCGTGATTGGGGAACGGCCCTGCCTGGTGGGGATGGCACAGAATATGGGGGTTGTCTGGGTGACTCTACTGCTCAGCCGGAGACAGTGTTGCCAGAGAGGTGGGAAGCGAGACATGCTCAAGAGGGAGCTGTCGAGGAGCAGGCACTGTTTTAAACAGCTGTGGCCCCAGCACCTAGACCGTCATGGGCGCTCAGTCAGTGTTCCTCCAACAAAGAGGCTCCCTTGCAGTCACTGGCAGAGCGGGGGCTGAGGGCCCCAAGATTCAGAGTGGACCGTGGGGCACGCAAGGGGCAAGGACGACCCCCACCCGGCAGCTGAGCCCTGGCAGTGCTGGTCGGCCCGAGGGGGAGGGGGAGGCCCCCACGCTGTCACTGGAGGGTGGTGGGTGGGCAGGGGCGCCGGCTTACCGTCCGCTGGGGGAACAAGGAGACAGTTTCTTCCCCAGGGCAGCAGAGACTCGCCGTAGGCTGGGTGGGGGTGGGAGGTGGTGAGGTAGAAGGCCAGGCATGCCTGCAAGGTGCTTGGCGGAGGGGCCAGGGGCCAGTGCCCCCACTGGAGGAGCAGTCTCAGTCTTGGAACTGGAGGTTCCATTTGTTCTTGGGGGCCCCCAAGAAGTAAAAGCCACACCAAGGGATGCCCGGGAGCCTTGTAACAGCGAAGGGGCCCCATTGCTGCGGGCTGGGTGCTGGGCTGGCTCTGTCCTTCAGCTGGAGACGTGGCTTATTCTGGCCTGGAGTCTCCACCCCGCCAGTCCAACTGCCCTGGAGAGCACAGGGTCCCATACTCAAAGGACACCCAGAGCCTTGTACACCCTGCTTGGTGATGCGGTGTCCTGTGGGCATTTGAGCCCCAGTGGATCCCTCACCTTGCCCAGTCCCCACTCCCGGCTGCAGGTATCCTCCCTGTAGAAGGCAGGGCCTCCAACCTCCTCTCACGGGCCTCCATCCTCAAGGCCCCCTGGTGCTCCCTGCCCCGTCTCTGAGGGTGCAAATTAGCCACCGGCCTCAGTGGCACTCAGGATAGCCAATGACCTCACCCAGGGTCTATGTGCCATCTGGCCCCAGCCAGCCAGGGGCTTAAATGGCAGCATAGAGGCCTTAAGCTAGATAACAGGAGGAATGTCCTGCAGGAGGGGGTGTATTGGGAGGTACTGGATCCAATGACTGGGGGGACTTTTAAAAATAGAACCTGAAGCTCAGGCAAGGCATCGGGGGATGGGTGTGATGGCCTCTCGGTTTCCTTCAGGGACACACCCCAAATCACCTAAGCAGGCTGGGCTGGCACTGGAGCCCTCCCGAGGACTTAGAGCCCCTTGACAAATTCCTCTGGCAGAGCCGCTGATGTCCTGGGCTCGGGCGTCCCAGGCTCGGTGCTGCTGGCCAGGCAGGCCCCGTGGACACAGTGCAAACAGGCGCTTGCGGGGCTGTGGCATTTCCTGCAGGGGCTCACAGGACTCTCCGCACCAGAAACATCCCCTCGGGGGATTCAGGGCCAGAGTTCTGGAGGAGCCCCACTCCCACACCAGCCCTCTCTGGCTTCCCAGCATGGGCCAGAGTGTCCGGGCCAGAGCCTGGGCTCCAGGGCGCCAGAGGCGGTGGCATTGTGATGAGGGGATCAGCAGAGGCAGAGCCTGCCCCTTCTCGGCGGGGTCCTGCCGCCCCAGGCACATCCCCTGTGAGCCCAGGAAGGTGGTCAGGCAGGCGGGCTGTGACCTTCGCCTCACTTCGGGCCCAGCAGACTGAGGCTCATGGGACAGAGGTGGCCTTGGGTGGAACTCCTGTCTGTGTCTCTTTGACTGGGGACTAGCAGAAAGGCACTGAGTAGGGCCTGTCCCCTGTCAGCTGTGGGCCGCCTGCAATGGCCCACAGCATCAACCCTGGGGTAGGGGCAGCCCAGCAAGGCCTCCCCTCGGTGGGTCTCAGCTCGAGGAGCACAGACAGGGGGGCTCAGGAGGGAGACCCCGGGAGTGAAGGGTGGAGGGAAGTGCCTTTATTTATCCTGGACAGGTGTGGCTGGGCCTGCAACATGAGCTGCCCTCTCACCCACCCTACGACCCTGCCACTTCTCCAGGAAGCGGGGAGGGTGGGAGCAGCCTGAGAAGGAGCAGCTCCAACGGCCCAGCCCCTACCCCTGCCGCAGCTGGCCAGAGGCTGGGGCCGTGGTCTGGGGCTTTGGTCCTCAGTGCCTGTTACAGCAGGCTTTATGGAAGAGGCATGTGCTTTTGTTTAGCTCTGCTACTCTCATGTCACCTTAGAAAAGTCAGTTTACCTGCTTGGCCTTTGTTCTCTCACCTTTAAAATGGAAATATTTGCACATGGGTGAGAGTGCTAGCAGGCACTGGTGGAAATGTTTCCCCTGCTGTCCCGGGCTGGCTGGGAGGCTGGGGGAGTGGTGTGGCCCGGCCTGGCCCAGAGCGCCGTCTCTCTGCTGGAGGGCCTCCAGCCCTAGGCCTCACCCAGCCCACCTCTGCCCTCCCTGGTGTTGGTTCCACTATTTACCAGACTCTCCCAGCTACAGTGGGACAGGGGGTCTCTGTCGGGGGTGGAGAGAGGGACAGGCTAAGACTATTCTGGGGTATCTGAGCCGGCAATTCCTGGAATTTCAAGGCTGCTGGAGCACAAAGTGCTGGTTTTTGGGCAGCGCTCAGCAGTGCTGACAGGCTGCGCTGTTTATAGCCCTACTGAAGGTCAGGCAGGCCGCCCGGGGCTCCCCCCAGCATCCATCTGTCAACAGGGGAAGATAGTGGCAGAGACCCACAGCTGGGAAATGCACTGTTAGAGGTCCCCCAGGCCAGGCCCTCCCTCTGTCCAGAGCCGTCTCTGACCCTGTGGGCTCCAAAGGGAGCAGTCTTGAGGCTGGCCGGGTCCTGGGGAGTGACCTCGGCCCTCAGAGGCCCCCGGGCAGGACATGAGGCAAGGACGGCTGCACGGCAGCCCCAGGTCCCCGCGCTGAAGGCACTGTGGGGCAGCCCAGCTCCCTGGGTCTCCTTCCCCTCTGCACGGCCCCCATCCAGGGGCTGCCCCTGACCCCAAGGGCCCCCATCCCCCACATAGAGCCCTCCCTCTCCCAAACACAGCTGCTCTGCCCCTTTGGGGCCAGGCTCCACCTCTACCCAGGATCATCCTAGGAGGCATGAAGTGGGCCTTGCTGGGGCCCCCCGAGAGCCAGTGCCCACGAGGGCATTTACTGGCCACTCTCGGGACACAGCTGGAGCCGTGGCCTGCACAGGAGGAGGAGAGCAGTGGGGACTCAGCAGGCCAGGGCGAGCGTGGGCAGCTGCACGGGAGGCCAGGCCCACATGCTGTAGACACAGGGGGGTTGTTGGCATGTGTGCGGGGGGCGCCAAAGGCAGATAGCTTTGTGTGAGGGCGGGGAGATAGCAGGGGCAGGACCTATAGGTCACTTCTTGGAGAAGTCTGGAGGCAAGGAAGGGACAGGAAGGAGCACAGCAGGAGCCAGTTGGAGCCTGGAAGGTGGGAAAGGCCATGTGAGCATGGAAGAGACTCCGAGGCATGGAAGGGACTCTGGCTCATTCATTGGCCAGAGGGAGACAGGAGGGTGAGGGATGGGGCAAGGCCCCAGGGGCGACTGGAGGGGAAAGTAATTTAATCCTACGATATTACAATGCACTTAGGGCTCCCCAGGGGTGGTCAGCCTCAGAGAGTGGGAGGGGGAGCTGCTGGAAGCTGCCCCATCCTGAGCATCGGCTGACTGCCCTCAGCACCCGCCCGCCACACCTGCACTGGCAGATCTAAAAGGGGCCTGTCTGATTTGGAGCACAGGAGTGGTGGCTGGAGACTTCTGCAGAGCCCAGCTGCCCTACCGGCTGCCGGCGACCTGGGAATAGGAGCCGAGGGCATGGGTGCACCCAGAGCCCGGGCTGGCACCTCATCTTCCTGGGACCCTGGACAGCACTTTTCTCCCCTCCCCCCTTGTCCCCTCTAGGGACACAGGCTGGCTCAGAACTGGTCAGTCAGGGCTGGCCCCTCACCCTCCACCCTCTGCCAGCTCCGGATCTTGTTTCCTATGGAGCCCGGGGACGTGGCCTGCCAGTCTCAGCCCCACTGGCACCATCTGAGGATAGCACTTGCGCTTCCTTGGTTTGGAGCTCCCCTGAAACTTTCTCAGCTCCACACCCTTCTTGTATAATACCCTATTTAATAATGTAATCCCCATGACAATCCCAAGAGAAAGGCACTGTGGCTCTTTTGACACTCGAGGGCTCGGAGGCTGGCACTGCAGCCTGGAGTCTGGCTCATACCAAAGTCTGTGCTCCTGCTACGCTCCCCCCGAGGCACATGCAGGTGGCTCTGGCACCAGCTCTCCCTGGGCCACCCTAAGGATTCCTCTGGGACACCCTAAGACTCGTCTCAGCAAGGCAGAAGGGCTCCCGGGGGCCAAGTGGCCAATCCTGGTTTCCAAACACCTGGAGCCTGCCTCGGCACACTGGAGACAGGAGCTCGGTGTCCCCACCCTGAGGCTGCTCTAGGCTCTGCCCAGGGTGGGGTTCCCAGTTGAGAGAGGGCCATTAGCTGGACAAGACTGAAAAGTGGGAATGAAACACTCATTCAGAAGAGGCATTTAAATGCTCAAAAGGAAAAAGAAAGATCTAAAAAAACAACCCTTCAAGGATTTGGGTGCTTTGGGTCATTTCTGGGACATAGCAAACAGAGAGAGGAGGAGTTTGTCTGACTCTGTCAGAGACATGGAAAGATTATGCCTGTACTACAGTCTTCATGAGATCTGGGCTCGGGCAAGGGTCCGAGGGTGCCCACTCCCACCCCTGCCCTGGCCTGCCCTGGCCAGGGTGGGCTGCTCCTGCAGAGGAGGGAGGGCATCTGATGGCCCTGGGTCATCCTTAGGGTCCTTGCCTCCATCCCACCTAGAGCGCCTCCCTGTAAGAGGCTATCAGCACCCCAGCCCCCACCCTGAGGGGTGTGGGCCCCACTCAGGGCGGCCAAAGGCCAGGCGGGCAGAGCTCTGACGAGCAGCACAGCTGCAGGGCAGGGTGCCAGCGGCAGGCAGGACTCAGCTCGCAGCTCCCTCTGGGAGGTCTGGCCACTGACCGGGTGCCAGGAGCCGGAGCTGTCCCCAGGAGCAAGGATCACCCCAGGCCACACCTGAGAATGAGGGGGACCCAGGCAGGACCCGGCAAGGGGAAGTGCCAGAGGCCCAGCGGAAAGGACCGGCCCATGACTGAGGGAGAAAGACTGTGGCAAGCCCTGATCTGGGCCCGGCCTCTCTTGGCTGTCATTCTGGTGCCCTTGCTCACGCTGTCACCATGAGCCTCTGGGCACAACTCCCGTCCTTCCTGACAGTGTCCCCTCTGTGGCCACAGGCCCCAACCTTCTGCAGCAGCCCACCCAGCTCCCTGCTGCAGGGTGACGACCCCTGTAGATGAGTAGAAGCACCTGGGGTGTCCTGCTGTGGGGAGCCTTGCTGTGGCGGTGTCCCGCCCTGGGGGTGTCCTGCCCCAGGGGTGTCCCGCCCCGGGGTGTCCTGCTGTGGGGAGCCTTGCTGTGGCGGTGTCCCGCCCTGCGGGTGTCCCGCCCCGGGGGTGTCCTGCCCCAGAGGTGTCCTGCTGTGGGGAGCCTTGCTGTGGTGGTGTCCCGCCCTGGGGGTGTCCTGCCCCGGGGGTGTCCCGCCCCGGGGTGTCCTGCTGTGGGGAGCCTTGCTGTGGCGGTGTCCCGCCCTGCGGGTGTCCCGCCCCGGGGGTGTCCCGCCCCGGGGTGTCCTGCTGTGGGGAGCCTTGCTGTGGTGGTGTCCTGCCCCAGAGGTGTCCTGCTGTGGGGAGCCTTGCTGTGGGAGTATCCCGTCGTGGGGGTGTCCCGCCCCGGGGTGTCCTGCTGTGGGGAGCCTTGCTGTGGGAGTATCCCGTCGTGGGGGTGTCCCGCCCCGGGGGTGTCCTGCTGTGCGGAGCCTTGCTGTGGTGGTGTCCCGCCCCGGGGGTGTCCTGCTGTGGGGAGCCTTGCTGTGGGAATATCCCGGCGTGGGGGTGTCCCGCCCCGGGGGTGTCCCGCCCCGGGGGTGTCCTGCTGTGGGGAGCCTTGCTGTGGTGGTGTCCCGCCCCGGGGGTGTCCTGCTGTGGGGAGCCTTGCTGTGGGAGTATCCCGTCGTGGGGGTGTCCCGCCCCGGGGTGTCCTGCTGTGGGGAGCCTTGCTGTGGGAGTATCCCGGCGTGGGGGTGTCCTGCCCCGGGGGAGCCCCAGGGGCCGTTCACTAGAACGGTGCAGGCAACCACTGCAAAACTCAGCCCGAACGCAAGCACGCCGGGCGCCGGGCTTTCTCCGAAACGCCCGACAGGAGCGAGCCCGGAGGACTGCACAGCACGCAGAGGGCGAGGGCCGTCTGTGGTGGAGCAGGTCGAGGGAGGGAGATGTCACGGAACAACCGTGGCGGTGGGTATCTGGGCGTTCACTTTCGGGTTCTTTCAACTTTTACAGTTTGAAAATGCCTGTAGTAAAATGTCGGAGCTGACAGCCCTGCACGGGGAGCGGGGGCGGGGCAGGGCACTTTCCGAGACAGCTCAGCTGGCCCTCGCGAGGCCCTTCGGGCCAGAACAGTGTTGTTCTCCCTCAACGTTGTTGTTTTTTACCCTTTGCCCACCCTCTACACTCAAAGACAGCAACGCACTCCTGACTTTAGTAGAGGCTCCCTGTGGCTGTGAATTTGGGGATGGGGCCGTGTGTATTTTGAGAAATCTCAGTAACTCCAAGATGCCCCCATGGAGCCTGGCGTGCAGGCTGCACTTCAGAAGCCAGTTGCTGTGGCTTCCTGACAGTCCAGGCATTTGTTTCTCTTGCCTCATCTCAGCAAATTCGGGGGCTGGGGGAGGGATGCTCTTGGCACAAGGTGGCCAGTATTTAAGAGGGCACCACAGCCCCTAGGGCCGAAACATCAGCTTAATGGCAATTGGAGAGGGCTGTCCTGGTCTTGCTGGTATCACCCACATGTGTAGGGCAGTGTTGCTGTGACTGGTAATGCAGTCACTTGGAACAATTTAGTTCCTGACCCCCCATAGAGCCCATCTGGGAATGGACTGGAGACTAGTGACTGTAGGGTACCCTGGTTTGAAAGGGGGTTCCTTGTGAGGGGCTTGGCAGAAGGCTTCTGTCCATGTGTGTAAGCCCAGGGCCTGGCCAGAGGCCCACCCAGGCTTGGCACCTGGAGCAAGGAACCGTCCCCAGGTCCTTTCTAGGCTCCTTCTAGGACAGTTCTCAGGCCCTGGCCAAAATATGGCTTCTACCAGCATTAGGAGCTGGCCTTGTCCCTGGGTTATAGCCAGAAAGGTGACTGGGATGCGCCCAGAGAAGCCAGAAGAACTGGCTGGTGGGCGAGTTGGGACAGCAAAGCCAAGGGACACCCTCCAGCCACAGCTTGGAGGAGCTCCAGAACCACCTCTTTCCTGTGACGTCCCTGGGGGTGGGGCCTGCATGGCATTCCTCGTGATGTCACAGTGAGGGGGCTCCAACATGATGTGGTGGGGTCAGGCCACGAGATCGTTCACTGTGCTATCAGCAGTGCCGGGCATTCCATGCAATGTCGGGGAGGGGAGGGCAGGAGTCTCCCTGACACTCCATGAGGCATCTTTAAGGGTGGGGCTGCTAATGTCACTAGGGACAGACCATCAAGCCATTTTAGGTGATGTCACTAGGCCCTGTGGAATTTTGCTTCTCGTATGACATCACTGTGGGTGGGCCTATTGCTGGAGGCCAGGCATGCAGAATTTGGCATTGTGCGTTATATCATTGGGAGTGGCTTCCCAAATAATGTCCCAAGGGTGTGACCCTCCTGAGATCTCATGGGAAGTTCCCAGGGTGGCATCTCAATGGCATTCTGTATGGGGCCTCCAGACTCTGACATCCTGTGATGTCATCAGGATGCAGGATTTGGAAACTGGCCCCCATACTGTCACTTTCCCTTTTGGTGAAGTGGCTACAGAGCCCTAAGCCCTACCCCACTTCCCAGCTGACCTTGCTCATCCAGGCAGGGTTGTCCGCTCCTTCTGCCCTCTGCACACCTGCCATGGTAGCACGAAGTACCTGAAACTAGGGCATTTTTGTGCGGGTGCTTGTATCCTGCCCACTGGCCTGGTAGTGTCTCTGGGGTGGTGCTGAGTCTGAGCTCCTGCATCTCCCTTGCTCCATGGTTTTGAAGAGTGCAGGGACTCAGTAGGCTAACCAGTGTTACAAACAGCCCCCAAATCTTAATGACTTAGCACAAGGAAACTGTCTTACTCATGCAATGTCCAATACAGGGCTCCTTAATGATCTCTCCTCCAAGCAGTGACTCCAGGATCCAGGCCCCTTCCAGTTAGCAGTTTAGCTGCCATCCTCTCCATCCTCTGAGTCCCGTCAGCCAACAAACAGAGTGCAGGTCGCAAGGATGGCTGCTAGGGGCAGACCTGGAAGTGGCAAGCGCTGTTCCCACCCTCATTCCACTGGCCAGAGCTAGTCCCATGGCTACAGTTAGATGTGAAGTGCTAGGACATGTGGTGGCTGTGTGCCAGGAAGAGGAGCCAGGTTTGGTGAGAGCTGCTGCTGGCCATAGTGAATGAAAGACAAAATGATGGCCTCCACCAGATGTCTGCATGTGACTCTTCCCTAAGGACTGGCCCATCCTCAGGACCGCCTCTTCATGCTCACCCCCCTTCTCCTGTCCAATCAGATCACTCCAGGCAGCAAGGCAGCCGAGTCCCAGATCAGCCAGGGTGACCTTGTGGTGGCCATCGACGGCGTCAACACAGACACCATGACCCACCTGGAGGCTCAGAACAAGATCAAGTCTGCCAGCTACAACCTGAGCCTCACCCTGCAGAAGTAGGTGGGAGCTCTCCAGAGCCCGGGGCACGGGCGCTGGCGGGGGGCGGCCAAAGGAGGGGTTGTCCCATAGCAACTGCATGGCAGCCCTGTGCTGCAGAGCCATGCAGGAAGGTAAGGACAGCCCTGGCTCAGGTCCACGGGGCTGACCAAAGCACCCAGGGGCCGTGATTCTCCATCCTGGTCAGACCAGTGCCTTCTTGAGGGGACCCAGACCTGGCTCCCTCTTGCTCTCCTCTCGCCAGCCCTGCCCAAGCAGGAGCTCCTGGCCTCAGGGGACACTTCCTCACTTGGTACCATTTTTGGTTTCTCCAGGTCGAAGCGTCCCATTGCCATCTCTACAACAGCACCCCCAGTCCAGTCCCCTCTGCCGGTGATCCCCCACCAGAAGGTAGGTGCTGACTGCCAGTGACGGGTCCGCTCTCAGCCGTGGTTCCTGGACTGCAGCCCCTGGCCTGCCTGCCTGACCCCTGGCCTGCTCCATGTCTGCTCCTGCGTGGCTGACCGTGGGGAAGTGGGCGGGCCCTCGGGAGAGGCGTTCAAGCCCCCCATGAAACCTGAGTGTGCGAGAAACCAGCTTGGGCAGCAGTCGTCTCAGCGGAGGGGTCAGCCTCCTGGCCAGGCAGGGGACAAGCTTCCAGAAGGCTCTCACCTTCATCTACCCGAGGGGCATGGGGTGGGGTGACTGGCCAAGGCCCCAGCTTGAGCCAACCACCCCAGGAGGAGCTCCCAGGCAAGAGGGGCCTGCTGGGCCTCAGTGTCTCCTCCACACAGGATTGCTTCCTCTGATTTCCACTTCCCTGCCTGCCCTCCCCACTGCACAGCCCTACAGCCCGGCACACGTGCTGGCGGTGGCCTTAGATGCAGGCGTGGGGGAAGCGGTGCGCTGGTTCCAGAACTCACTCTGTGCCCGGCCCTTCCCAAGCTCACGCTGAGCATCTCGACCCGAGGCCCCAAAGCACAGGAGGCCCAGCCTTCTCGCCCCCAGCCACTCCCCCTGTGTGGCCTCAGGCTGACCCCCGCTGTCCAGTGAGGCAGATTGGGCAGGGCGAGGAGAGGGAAGAAGAGGCTGACAAGGGCGGGTGGGTCACAGACCCGGGGAGTGGCAGAGGGCCGCTTGGGAGATGCTCGCAGAGGTGGACAGAGAGGCTCAGTGCCAGCCACCTGCTTCCCTGGCCTCCCCTCCTGCACCCCCACCCCTCCTGCCACAGCCGGCCTCAGGATGGAGGGGACCCCTGGGGCCGGCAGGCTTGCCTTGGCTTCTGTGCAGGGCTTTGCGATCTGCTCAGCTGCCAGCCTCCAGGCCCGGAGCCGTGAGCCTCCCCGACTCCTGCAATACCCGGCCCCTCCAGGTGCCCCGTCCAGGTGCTCCGGGCAGAGCGGGCCAGGTGCTCATGCTAACATATCTGTTTCAGGTCCACGCGGAAGCACTGAGACATGTGTGGCCTCTAACTACTCTCTTCTCTCTCCCCTGCATGGCGCTGCTCTGTGCCAGGACCCTGCTCTGGACATGAACGGCAGCTTGGCGGCACCCAGCCCCAGCCCCGAGGCCAGGGCCGGCCCGGGCAGCCCAGGCACCCCGGAGCTCAGGCCCAGCTTTAGCCCTGCCTTCTCCCAGCCCTGCACCTTCTCCTCACTTACGGAGGCTTCTGATCCCGGCCCTCCACGGGCCAGCCCGGAGGGGGCCCGGGACCCACTGGGCCCAAAAGTCCTACGGGGCTCGAGCCAGCCGAGGCAGTATAACAACCCCATTGGCCTGTACTCGGCAGAGACCCTGAGGGAGATGGCTCAGATGTACCAGATGAGCCTCCGAGGGAAGGCCTTGGGTGCCGGACTCCCAGGAGGGTAGGTAACGGGCATGCAGCTCACCAGTGGTGGTCTGGGGCCACCTGGGTCCTCAGTGCTTGGCAGCGTCCTGGTCAGGTGGTCAGAGCAAGGAGCTGGCCCTAATCCAGCCAGGCCCCGTCCCGGGAGGCAGTGCAAGCTCAGAGCAATGCAAGCAATGATCCTACTAACGTTTACCTTGAGCTGAGCAGGTCTTTGTTTCACATGACCACCCTGGGGTGACATGTCAGATTTTGCAGAGGAAGAAACTGAGGCTCAGAGAAGGTTAAGTCACGGTCCAGTTGTCCAGCTGCTAAGTGGCCAAGCCAGGCCTGAGTGCAGGAGACTGACTTCCAAAACTTTTACACCAGGACACCCCTTTTAGGAGCTATGGGACAAGGAGACAGGCTGGTCCCCAGCCCTCTGGGAGCACTGAGGCAGGAGCAGAGAATAGTTAGAGAGGGGGAAGGGCAAGTTCTCTGGGACGGGGAGTAGTCTGGGAAGGCTGCCTAGATGAGGCAGTGCCTGAGCTGTGTACAGAGACTTGGCAATGGCGGGAGGGACTGGGCTTGCAGGACTGACCCTGGCCAGGGTGGGGCAGCAGGGAAGCAGGCCCCCAAGGAGAAAAGGGCTGGAGAGAAGAACAGCAGCCATGCCCCCCGCAGTCTAGCTGTTGGGACTCCACAAGCGCAGAAGTTAGAAGGACAGGAGCTGGGCCATCGTGGGGGAGGGCTGAGGGAAGGCAGCCCCACACTGAGGAGGTATTAGCTCCAAGCATTTCGCATTTGATATCTCATTTTAACTTCCACTATTGCCCTGCGCAGTCAGCCCGGTTATCTCTAGATGCTAAAGGCAGAGCAGGCTGATTAAGGCACTAGAGCAGCGGTCCTCAAAGTTTTTAAACAGGGCCAGTTCACTGTCCCTCAGACCGTTGGAGAGTGCGCACTGTGGGCCCGGGACCAGTCAGCTGCTAAGCAGGACAGGCAGCGGTGGCGGCAAAAACATCCGGTGGGTGGGATAAATGTCCAAGGGGGGCGGCATGTGGCCCGAGGACCGTAGTTTGAGAACGCCTGCACTAGAGCCTAGTGGTTTGGGCTCCTCATTTGCACGGTGGGAGGAATCACACTGTCCCGCCTTGGGATTCAGGGGATGATAAAGAAGACCACACGTGTAAAGCACTGGGTTCTGTTCTGTCATAACTCAATGCATGGCACCTGGGATCGTCACTGCCTGCAGTCGCCAGCTAGTGTGCAGAAGAGTCAAAGGCAGGACCTGGCCAGTCTGACCCAAGCCCACACCTTCCCTTTGCCTCGACTGCAGAAAGCACCTGTGCCCCACCAGGCCACTGCTCGCTGGAGATCCCCAGCTCCCCAGCTCCTCTGCTCTCTCTGGGATCCTGAGTGGAGCTGGGCTTCCCTGGCCAAGGTGGCAGAGCCACTGATACCCTTTGCTGGGTTTCCCAGCAAAGGGCTTTTGTCAGAAAACTCAGGGAATGGTAGAACAGAGAAGGCCTCTTTGCCCTAACTCTGTTGGGCTGTAGGTCTTCCTGGTACTTTCTGGAACCAGCCCCAGGTGGGGAGGTTGGCCTCTGGTGGCCTGGGACACCCAGGAGGACCAGCTGCAGTGATGATTAGTGGCTCCCTCTACTGAGCCTTCACTCTGGGCTGGGGGCCAGCTAACAGGCCACATGCTTTAACTCTCAGCAACTCTATCTAACACAACTCTCTCAGCAACCCAGAAGTGAGCTTTATTTCCCTCATCATACAACTGGAAAATAGAAGCTCAGAGAGGACAATTTGCCCAAGGTCACACAGCTACTAAGTGGCAAATAGGACTGGTACCCAGGTCAGTCTGACTCCACCCTGCACTGAGACAGGGACCTAACTACCTGCTCAGGGAAGTCAGGGGCCAGCCCACCCCTACTTCCCATGTCTCCTGAGGTGCCCTCCTGTTGGCTGGCACAGGGGCAGAACCTGACAAATATGTAAATTATTACCTGTCACTCAGAGCAGCAGAGTCCAGCAGTTTCCTCCAGGGGACAATAGGCTAGGGGAGGGAGTGCCCTGGGTGCTTCATCCAAAGTAAAAGCCGATGCTGCTGTCCTAGGGCAGTGTTGGCAGGAGGGGCTACAGCCTCTGACCTGGCTAGCCCAGGGTAGCCTCTGCTGGGCTGAGGCCACCACTTTTGCTAAGTGTCTAACTGCTCGCAGACAGCAGTGTCTGCAAGTGCTAATGCTGGTGTCTGTCCATTATCCCAAGCTGAGGGCTTAGTCGGCACGGTCCACCTGTGTGGTGAGCACCACCATCCCAATTTAATGAATGAGGAAACTGAGGCTGAGACAGGTGGGTAAGTTGCCCAGAGTCCCAGTTCTAGGAAGACGCAAGGTCAGGATTTGAACTCTGTCCTGTCTGGCTCCGAAAAGAAGCCCCTTCCCCTACTCTCTCCCCTGGGCAGCTTGCAGTGCAATTTTTTGGCAGCTTATATCCTCTCGGAAGGGGTGGAAAGGGACAGATGGGGTAAAGGTCCTGGCTCTGCAGCCCCCTTCTCATCCCCTCTGGGGCTGGCATTGAAGGACAGCATCCCTCGGGCCACTCAGTGTGAGGGCCCCTGGGCAGGTCTCACATCTTGGGCTCATCTTCCCTAAGACTTGGGCACTGGCCCTTCTCTGAGATGTGTCTGCTGCAGTCATCCCTGCAGCAGGGGAGGGGAAGGCTGAGCTGGGGGCAGGAATCAAGGCCAAAGAAGGAGCTGGCAGCCCCCACCCCCCAGGCCAACACTGCCCTCTGCAGGGGCACTGGGCTGGTCAGGGCAAGAGCTGACCCTGCAGCTGTCAGCACTGGCCAAAAATGGAGAAGGAATGATGCTCCATGCCGGCCCTTTCCTAATATAGCACCACTTGCAGCTATTTTGAGCCTGAAAGGACAGAGGGAATTTTATCAGCTCTAGGAGGGTGGCGGGTCTGGGGCCGTGCAAGGCCACCACACAGCCCCCGGGGGCCAGGGATCCTTGACTTTAGCTCGGCTCCCCAGGGTTCTGGTCATGAGACAACCAGGGCCAGGCCACCTCAGGCCCTGACTTCCTGACCCTGAGCCCATGTCGAGCAGATCCAGGAAGGTGGCAGGGTTTGGGGACAGAGCCCATCACCTTCCACACTGTCTCCCTCTCTCGCTTCACACAGGGCCACTGGCCACAGGGTCTGCCGCTGCAGGGAACATGCACCTAAAGAAATGTGATATAGACGATGCTTCCCCCAAGGAGACCATGCTCCAGGAAGTTCGCTCTCAGATGAGAGTGAGGGTTGGGTCCCTCCATGGCGTCCAAGCTAGGCTGCCTCGGCTGGGGGCTTTGCTGCAGCAAACCTTGGACTCACACTTCTCCTTGAGCCTCCTTAGTCCTCCTTCCTGCCTCATGCCTAGTCCACAGGCCTTTAGGAGTGGTCCCTGGGGACTGCGCCCCTCCCCACTTCTGTACCCCAGGAGGAGATGCCAGGGCTGCCTGCCCCTCTTCTGGGAGAGAGAGCAGCTGGGGGCTGCAGGTAACACTGCCGCCTACCCCACCCCCAGCAGGAGGCACCTCGGCTGGGCCCTCTCCATCGCAGCCACTGCTGGTCCTGTCCCTACCCCCAGCTTCCTCTCCAGGGCCTATAGCTGGGCCGAATGTGGGGGATTCATGTACACAGTGTGAATGCCCAAGAAGATGACCCGTTTCCCTGGCAGAGCTGAGGGCGCTGGGGGCCGCCGAGGGGGAAACACTGCTGTGTCGCGTCCGGACTCTGAGCTCTCTCCCCTCCTCACTCCTGACTCTCCCACCCAGCGCCGTTCTGCCTCCATAATGACCAGTCTGAGGATGGTCCCCGTGCTCACACCGCCCCGGCACGAGCCTTGTTCTGACCACCTTGTCTTCTTTGCCCTTCTCTCCTCCCCAGGTGGTAGCCAACTCTCCAGCCAAGTTAGTATCGAAGGACAGCATGTGTGTGCGCTTGCGTGCCGCCCCCAGCATGCGTCTGCGCGCCCGGCGTGGACAGCGTGTGCTGCGGCATGTGTGTGCCTGTGTGCACGTGTGATCTGCGCTCCTCGGGGAGCCTGCATGTGTGTGAAGCTGGAGTGTGGAGCGGAGGCGTTTTGGGGGTGGGTGTGGGGGCTCCATCCGATGGTTCCAATTCCGATCCCGATTTCCTGCTGCAGCTGCTTAAGACTCGCAGGCTGGCTGGGGGGGCGGGGGTGCTGCCACCGGGCCCAGGCGAGCCTGAAGACTTTTCTGTCCCGGCGGGACCCCTCAGAAGGGCTCCTGACCTTGTCTTTGCCTGGGGGCACATGTATCCGTCGGAGGGAAGAGCCTCCCATGTGTAGAGGCTGGCGGGACACACAGCAAGCTGGACTCAAGGGCCCTGGGCCGCGGAGCCCTCTCTGAGGAAGAAACGCCTGCGCTGAAGCATCCGGAATAGCAGAGCCCCAGGCCGCTGAGGGGGTGGCCTGCAGGATGGCCCCCTTCTTGGAGGAACGTCTCAGAACTCCTGTGGGTGCCCAGTGGGGCTGCTTCTCACCTTCGGGGTGTTTTGGACTCAGCTTGGGCTGCTGCTGCCTCTCACACGTGGCCCCGCACGTGTCGCCGACCCCCAGGCCCCGCTTCCCCTGCTGTGTGTGTGGAGATCTCTCCAGGCCTGGCCTGCCCTGCGCACCCGGGGAGGCAGCTCCGCTGAGCCAGGCCCTGCAGGGGACCGGGGAAAGCCTCCCCTCCCGCAGGGGCTCTGCGGAGGTGCTGAGGATTTTCCTGACCAGACCCAGCCCACCCACAGCCGGGCCTCGGGTAGCCTGTGTGCCATCAGGGCCGCAGCCTTGGGAGATCTCTCGACACCCTCCAGCAGCAGCCCTTGCCTTGACCGCCTGTGTAACCACCTCCTGTTGCCCTTTTCTCCTCCCCCTCCCTGCCGTCCTCGCGCGCCCCTCCCCAGCGCCGACTACCAGGAACGCTTCAACCCCAACGCCCTGAAGGACTCGGCCCTGTCCACCCACAAGCCCATTGAGGTGAAGGGGCTGGGCGGCAAGGCCACCATCATCCACGCGCAGTACAACACGCCCATCAGCATGTACTCTCAGGACGCCATCATGGACGCCATCGCCGGGCAGGCCCAGGCCCAGGGCAGCGACTTCAGCGGGTAAGCGACTCCCCTCCTCCGCCGTCCGGGGCTCATCGTCCGCAGAGCCCGGGGACCAGGCCATCGGGACCAGCCTCCTTCCCTCACCCTGGACCTCCTGGGGCACGGGCCCTTGGAGCGGAGCCAGCCTTCGCCAGGGCCTTCCGGAACGTGGCTGTCCTCTCTTCAGAACTGTCTCACGGTCAGCCTTAGGAGAAGGGTGGCGAAACGCAGAATGCGGTGGCTCCTCAAAGTGCTTTCCACAGCCTCTGCACTTTCCCAGGCTCCGTGACGGGCTGGCTTAGGAAGAGACTTCTGCCATCGTCTTAACAAGGGACCTCTCACAGCTGGGCCTCTTTGCAGGGGGCGGTGCAGTGTTCTTCCTGCAATGACAGTCAATTCAATACCTGGCTGGGTTTCTGGTTTGGGACGGCGCCTGGGCCTAACCATCGGTTGATGTTGTTGGCAGTCAGTCCCACCGATGGGCACCTCCTCCTCCTCTTGGTCCCAGGAAGCCCGGCCGGCCTCAGAGCAGTTGTATTTCAGAAATCTTGGTTCCAGGAATTTTCCCTTTAGCTATGACTGGGGAATTGGAGGGTTGAGTTAGGAAAGAGTTGGCTATAAATCATTCGTGGATGAAAAATGCTAATACTGCAAACATTAACAGGACCTCTCTCTGTCTCCCTCTTTCTCCCTGTCTCTCTCTCTGTCCTCCTCCTTCTTTCTCTCTCTCTCTGTTGTCTCTCTTTCTTGCACACACACGTGTACACACACAGTGCCTTACTGTTTTCTGCTTGGGAATACCATAGTGTTGACTGGAACTGGCTGGTTATCTCTTTGGGCAACATCTTATCCCTGGGTCAGGATCCCCAACAAGTCAAGGCAAAAAGTCTTAAAATCACAGCTGTACATTTTTTCTGAAGCTAGGAAGACAGATGTTATAAGAGGGCTAGAGGGGTTAAAAAGTCACAGATAACCCCGACAGTGCTTGGCCTTTCCTGAGCCCAGCCCCTGTGGCCATGGTGTGCGTACAGGTTGAAAGGGCAGGCTCCAGAGGCCAAAGGTCGAAGGCTGGTATGGCCTTCCTGGGCTCCCTGGTCCTGGGGAGCCTGGTGCCTTCTCGGGGCCGCAGTACTGGCTTAGGGCCACCAGGGGGCAGAGGTCACCTGTCCCGGAGCTGCGCGTCGCAAACCCCAGCTTGGGGCTGCTGGCTTTGCTTAACTCCAGGCAATGTTGTTTTATTTAATTCCATCATTTAAAGCAGAAAATATGACCATGCAAGTTTAAAAACACAGCCATTAGCTCATGTGTACCCAGAAAAACAAGGCTGCCTGACTAAGCCCCAGAGCTATCAGGGATATCCTGTTAACATTTCTTTGCCTCTTGTGTCCTTGGTGTGCTCTTAAAAGTGGTAGCAGTCGCCAAAGGGAAGTTCAGTGGAAAATAATGGCAAAGCTGCTCTTCACTAACTCTTTCCTGCACCTGAGAAGACGGCAAACATTTGGTTTTACCACTAGGGTATCCATAATTTTCAGAACATGGCGCACTATTGATTAATCTAGGCTTCTCAAAGGACCTTTCCCACCTCCCTCCTATTCCTGTCCCTCCCTTCCCTTCCCTTTCCCCTTCCTTTTAATGCCGCCATGCTGGGCTGACGCTGCCGTGGTGCCAGGGGGCAACGCTCTGGGCCACCACGTGCTCCCATTTCTGCTGTTAATTTCTGCGGTTCCTTCCTCGCTGACCTGTTTTCTTTTTCTCTTTTTCTTCCTCCCTCACCCACCCCACTCCCATAACTCATTTCTGATCCTAACCCTGCTCTCTTGTGTGCGCCGCCCTCTGCCATCCCATGATGGACGCGCACTCTCGGCTGGGTTTCCCTCTGCTTGGCAGGGCGTCGCCGCTGGCGTAAGTAGACCGCGCAGTGTCTGTCCCGTCGTCCGTCTGTCTGGTTGCAGGATGGTGTGTGGGTTTGGTGGGATGTGTCTGAGGACCCGTGGTCAGTCCACATGCTGTGTCCATGTTCTTCCTCACACCCACCTCACAGCCAAACGACATCCCCTGCAGCCTGTACAGGCAAGTATTTGTCTTTGGGGGTTTGGCCCAAACCATGTCACTGTGGCTGCAGAATAACGACACTCACCCTGTACTCCCCCCAGGCTGGGGTGCATCCCTGCATTCTTGCCATGCTTCCGGTGGCTGCTCCTAGCCTTTCCAGTCTGCACTGGGACAGCGTAGACCTGAACCCACACTTGGCCGTGACTCTGGGGTAGAGAGTGGCAAGGTGACCTCTTAGAGGCCACTCCCAGAACCCTCACGGGAGGGGGGCCTACAGGAGCCAGTCCCTGCCACGGCCACCCATGTGAGGTGAAAGATGAGTCAGATTTGGGGACAGTGCGTGGTGGGGCAAATGCCAGAGGTGACCTTAGTGTCACAGTTACTATGGCATATTTTCTGTGGCAAGAATAAGCCAGCAGCAGTTCCAGGGAGTGGCCCAGGCCCCCAGGACTGCAGGGCTTGTTTCATCCTCTCCTCACTGTTCTCCCTAAGCCTTCATGTCTTGAAAGGCACCATAGTCCCTCGTCTGACTCCAGTCTCTGTCACACCAGCAACACGAGTCCCTAGTCTTTGCAGTTTGTGGGAAACAATGCCAGCAATGTTGAGTCCCAAGGACTCACACCTGGTAGCTTTCTTGAGTCCTTGGAGCTGAGAAAGGCACAGGGGAGCTCCTCATGGGCATGTCCCCGGGAAAAGGCAGCAGTCACCTCCAGTCTGCTCTCTGGATCGCAAAGCTCTGTGTAGACAGGCTCGAGGGCAGGGCCTGGGCTTGGGGCCACACCTTCCCTCTCGCACGGCACACTCTATGCTCCTTCTTCCCTCTCCTCCGGACGGGCCAGGAGCCAGGACCAGGGACACCAGGTCATGCCTTCCTTTGTCCATCTTACCCAAAGACCTCAGGAGCCCTTGGGACTCCTCCCTAGCCAGAAATGGCCTCTCCTAGCGAGAGCGAGTTTCCTCCCTCTCCTTCGCTCCTCCCTGGCTGGACCCGAGAGGGAGCTGCTGGTCTTCCCTATCTGATCCCAGTCACAGGCTGGCTATACCTGTAGCTCTCCTGGCCAGGGCAGAGCCTTCAGGGAAATAGGGGCAGCTCCACCCAACATTCATCATCTTTCTCTACCTCTGTGCTTGTAGCACACCCTGAGCCAGACATGGGAGACCAGTCCTGGGAGACCAGGCCAGTTCTCCGTCCAGCTCCTTGCAGAGAGGGTAGAAGACATGGGCACTGGAAAGATTCCTGTCCCAGCCAGCCATCCCTCTGTGGGGAGGGGGTAGGCAGGCGGGAGGATGCTGGCCAGGATGGGTCTGGGCTGTGCCATGTCTCCAGGCACAGAGCATCTGGATCTCTGTAAGGTCCCGATGGGCAGAAGTGGCCTTCGAGCCCTTGTGACTGCAGAGAGCCAGATGGGAAGGACACTAGGCTAGAAGCTGAGAAGCGTGGCTCCAGCTCAGTAGGGCCCTACCTGCCGTGACTTGGAGCTAGCCGGCTGGCCTCTCTGGACCTCAGTTTCAGCATCTGTAAGAGGATAGGGCTGGACCAACAGTCTGTCATTGCTGTGAGCTTCGTCTGAGCCCTCCTTTAACCTTTGAGAAGGTGGGCTAGGCAGCCTAGATCCTCTGGTCCCCTGCTGGGTTAGTGGGCACCTGTAAGGCTTTCGATCATTGCTGCCCTACAGTCTCATCTGGGCTGGGAGGCACTGGACCCAAGGGGCTCTGGGGTCCCGTCTGGACGTGAATCCTGGTTCAGGATTCGTTTATTCAGCTAGGAGTTTTGAGCACCAATCATGAGCCAGACCCTGAGAGTCTAAGAGAAGGTCACCAGGCTCCCACTACCCCCCAAAAGGCTGTGGTGCCCTGGGGCACAGGACCCCTGGCCATCTCTGTGGCTCCACTCCCACCTCCCCCAGGCCAGAAACCCCACTGTCCCCGCCGGCCATGCTGGGGCCACAGGGCCTTGCTGCCTCCTTCCTCACACCACCTCCCAGTGGAGTCTGCCTGCTGGCAGCTGAGTCCAGAACCCTCTGCCCTCTTCCAGGGCAGTTGCGGTGTTGGCAGCTCCCTGTTTGCATCCGCAGGTGCGAGGAGGGCAGTGGATGGGCCCGAGGAAGCCTCTGGGTGCCCCCAGATGGCCTGTTCTCACCCAGGCCCACACTCAGGGCGTGCTCAGAAAGGTCAAATTACTTCAAGAAGACCTCTTCTGTTTCCTCCTTCCTTAAAGGGGATGGGGGTGGGGCGTCTTCAGGCCTGGGCCTGGAGTTCGCTCTGGGAGGGGCAGACTGGAGGGCTCTGAGCCCCCAGCCCTCATCAGAACCACCCTGAGCACCGAGGACCCAGGACTCGCGCCTGTCGTGGGTTCTCAGAGGGCAGAGGGTGAAGGCCCGGTGGGCACAGAACAGCAGGCGGGTGGGGGTGCTCGGGGGCACAGCGGGCGGGCGGGTTCCAGCCTCCCCTTGCCCACTTCTCTTCTGCACCGCAGGAGCCTCCCTGTGAAAGATCTCACCGTAGACAGCGCCTCTCCCGTGTACCAGGCTGTGGTTAAGAACCAGAACAAGCCGGAAGACGAGGCCGAGTGGGCCCGCCGCTCCTCCAACCTGCAGTCGCGCTCCTTCCGCATCCTGGCCCAGATGACCGGGACGGAATTCAGTGAGTGAGGGCTGCCGGTGGGCGCAGCGGAGGGAGGTGCTAGGGCCACGAGGGGCCCGGACTCTGCCGCTCACTCTTGGGGCCCTCGGAAGCCACGGAGTCTGGAGGCCTTTATGGTTCGTTAGCGGCCAGCAGAGCTCCTGTGGGCCCTTGGGCAGGTGGCCAGTGACGGCAGCTTCTGCTCCACGCCCAACTGTGACAGCGGGCAGCGGGCTCATGGGGCAGCCCCTGGGAGAAGTGACTACTTGGGGCTGGGATGGGAGGACTGCACAGGCCGCGCCTCTGACCCCTCCCAGCGCGCAGCCCTTCCTGTCCACAATGACGAGCCGAGGGGGGAGCTACTTGGGCCTGGCTGCTCGGCAGCTCTTCCTGTGCTCCCTGTCGGTGCCCTGACCAGCTCCTTTCCACCCACAGTGCAAGACCCTGACGAGGAAGCTCTGCGAAGATCAAGGTGAGTGCCTGGACCTGGGCCCCGAGGCTTTGCCCTCTAGCCCCATCCCACCCGAGCAGCACCTAGGCCACAGCACTCGTGGAAGGAACCTCTCAAATTCACGGATTTGGAAAGCCTGGCCTGAAAAGGGCTCCAGCACATGCTGGCTTGAGGCAGCCGTCCTGGGCCAGGGGTCTCTGTGCCCCAGCCCCAGGCTACAGGAGGGAAGACTGTGGGCTCTCCTGGCTCCGTCCCCCGGTAGGGGGCAGGGCTGCTTTGGCCTTCGCTGGGCTATTGAGAATGAGGGCATCTCTCCCTGTGAGGGCTCCGGGCCAGCCACCTCACCTGCCCACTCACCGCAGGGCCTGTCCCCCTGTGAGTCTAAAGGCTGGGCACTGGGCAGCAGGCAGGCGGGAGGCCATGCTGGGCATGGACGCCTGACCCCTGGACTCACCTGTCCAGGCCCACATTGAGGTACCAGTTCTGTAAATTGCTCAAAGCACAACAGCAGCTGAAAGGAAGACAAGCCCTCAACATGAAGAGGGGCTTGTGCAGAGCTGGGGGGCTCAGGGCATGGTTTTCCCTGTCAGTGGCAGTTCCGAGTCCACAGCCACTAACCTAACACCATGGCCTGTCAGGTGCTCATAGCCCTGGGCGTGAGGGAGGCATGAGGGAGGCATGCTGCACTGGAACCCACTGGAACCCACTAGGGCCTTCCATGGTGAGGCGTGGGACTCAGTGTGCCTGTATGTATGCGCCCGGTAGCAAATACGCCATCCGCATGCTCTTCCCAGCACAGTCTGCCTTGGGCCAGCGCTTCCTGCGGCGGCCTCTGTGTGAGGGGCTGAGGTCAGAGGTGCTCTCCCACCCTGGGCCAAGCTCTCTGGACTTGCTAACCAGCGCGTAGTGGCCACAGGACCCCAGAGTAAGACTCGGGACAGCTCGGACTTGATGTAGATTTTCTGTTTGAACCTGTGTTTTTGCCAACCCAAGTTGCTCCACTCTTTGGCTGGGCATCCAGACTGAAAGTGTGGTCCCCCAGGCCTGCGTGGAATGCATGCAGTTCCCACAGCCCTTAACCCTTCACTCCTGCAATGCTTTTAGAATCTCAGATGAGATATGTTTGATTTAGCTCAGAAGTTAAGATCTAGCTATGTTAAGTGTGACTGAGCTCTCGGCTGTCCCCTCCTCCTACGCTGCACTGCCCCTACGTGCTGTCCCCACATTCGTCCCACCCTCCTCTTTGAAGCCACCCATGTAGATGCTTCTGTGAGCAGTGTAGACATTCCCAAAGATTTGATGGAGGAATCTTTACATACCCCAGAGTCAAATGGCCTAAAAATCCCCAGTTCCTTCCACCAAGCAGTCAGGGAGGGGCCTTTTTCCTCCCTCCCACGAGACACGGAGTGTTGCTTCTCCAGACCCTTTCTGGTTACTTCGTGTTCCTCTTCCTTCAATATGCAGGGTGGTCCCACCAAGCTTGTGCCTCAATACCCAGATGTCATTAGTAGGGGAAATGGACCATAGAGGTAGATTATAGCGAACTTTTGACTTTTGCATTTCCCCTGGAATCTCTGCAGCTCTGCAAAGTTATTGAGTGAGGAGAACACACGAGCAGTATAAAGGGTGGTCCCTCGGCCTCATTCTTGGTCTTCCTCTTCCCTCCTTCCAGAAGCATCTCTTTTTTTTTTTTTTTTTTTTTTTTTATAGAAGTAGATCCTGCAGACAGAAGCATCTCTTGAGGCTTGTTCTACCTGATCTTGTAGATATACAAGGGGTGGGTGGGGGTTGTCCTTCCTCCAGGGCCCTAACCACACAGGAGCTTGGTTTGGCCCCCAGCAAGAGGCGGCAGGTCTTGAGAACTCTGGTGCAGAGCCACTGTAGACTTTCATCACCGGAAATCTGGAAAGAGGCCCCAAGAAGAGGCTCCAGCCTGCTTCCTCCCTCAGGCCCAGGCAGCCTCCCTTGGCAGGCGCTGCCCCCTGCCCTCCCTCTGGGTTCTCGGGCCCTGCAGTGGAGGCTCTGGGGCACCCCGATAGACTTCTGCCCAGGGATGGAGGGGCTGCTTTCCCTTTTTGTGATTTTGTGTCACTGAATCCCATGCAGGCAGGTTATAGACCTGGGATGGGGGTGCAGTGGGTGTGGCAGTTCACTTCTGTTTGTGATTAAAGCCTGAGGTTGTGGCTGTAGTCACTGGTCATGCTTTGGGCCATCTGAGCAGAAAGGAGCACACTTGTCCCCTCTCTGGTCCAGGCTGGTCAGGGCTCTTGCTCCTCAGGGACCTGAGCCACACTTCTATCCGTCCCCAATTCCAAGTTGGAAGCTGCACCCAGATCCTGCTGACCCGTCTGTCGGCTGAGGGCAACCACCACCTTCTTCTCTTTCTCCTCCCAAATTAGCATCGCTCCCAGCGAGGATTCTAAGGGTCTCTCCTGAAGGCTGAGCTCCCACAGGCAGGCTTCACTGCAAACCCTGCCAAGTGTCTCATCCCGGCATAGCCTGAGCTTGCCAAGCCTGCGCATGGGGACAGCCTGAGCAGTGTATGCCGCTGCGAAGGTGCTTTTCCCTTCCTGCTGCTGTGTGGTGAGAAAGTGGCCAGGAATGTCAAGTGAGCAGTGTCAGGCATTCTGTAGCATGCAGGAGCACTGGTGACCTCAGGGACAGATGCAAATCCACATGTCAGGCAGACCTTGCAAGCTCTCCCCTCACTTCTGTCACTGCCATGCCTCCAAGGCCACCCCCACAGAGCAGCTCACAGCCAGCCCTCCTGTCCTCTAAGGTCCTGGCTCCCGATGGTGTCCCTGGTATCTGGTAGCATGTAGCTTTCCTCTGAGGCTCCAGTGCCTACCTGCTGGCCAGCCCAAGGCAAAATCTAATCTCCAGGGACCATGTCTTTCCATGGAGGGGTGGTGCCTGAACTGCCCAGGCATTCACCATGGACTTAGCTGCCCTCCCTAGAAACACCATGCTGTGGCACCTTAGGAAACTGTCCAAGCTGCCTTGAACATCAGCTCCTGTCTGCTTCCACGTGGGAGCTTCTCCAATAGGTGCAGGTGATGCTGTGGCTCCCCAGCTCCCATCTGACATAGCTGAAATAGTGCCTCCATTCCACAAGCAGAGCCCTAATCTCAGAGAGATCACGAGAGCTTCCCTCTGACTTCGGGACGGCACTCCAGGGCCCTGATGGCTTGGAAGTTTGGGTCCGCATTGCACAGCCATGATGCGTGCAGGGATGGGCACAAGCCCAGCTCCGTCCTAGGCAAGGCTCAAATCCCTGAGGCCTCTGGATCCCACTGCTCGGGTGTCACCATCCTGGAGGCTCTAGTGTGTAACCCAGAGTGCCCTGCCCCTGCCTTGTGGCACAACTGCCTATAAATGCAGTCCCTGACACTCACCTGGCTAAAGAACTCTGCATGTCTGCTTCATCCCAAGTGTTAGGAGCAATGCTGATTTCTAGAGGAAAGTTCCTGGAGGAGTTGAAGGTGAGGGCTGCCTCATACCCCCTGCTCAAACGATGTGAAAATCCCCCACGGCCCTTCTCTATCCAGCAGCACCAGATGCTGAGGCTCACGGGCCCTCCTCCTCCCCGCCCCCAGAACCCCCCGGGGGTGTGTCCACGGGCTGTTCCCTCTCTGCATCCTTCTGCGCTGCCTCCCCCCCCCAGCCGCCTACTTATGCGCTGGCACAGCACGGGCCCTCCCTTAGATGGGACCCTGGTAAAAGGCAAAGACAAAGTTACCTGTGTTTCGTGGATTTTCAGTCCCTGGTGTTCAGCCCCACTAGCAAGTTTGAAAACCACAACTGGAGAGCCCAGGACACCCCGGTGTCACCACCTAAGCAGCTCTCATGGGGGTCGAGGGTTTCTTCCTCTCTCTCACTCTCCTGTCTCTTCCCCTGTCTCCTGCGCCTTCCGCTCCCTGCTCCTTTCTTTGGCTAGCTGAGGATCTCTAAACAGCTGCAAGCAGAGCAGTCTCACTAGACCTGCCAGCTCTTCCAGGACTGTCCCCAGCCCTGTCACTAAGCACTGACAACAACCCGTCACCCAGCCACCACAGCCCTTGCTAGGACTGATGATTTACAGGCAACCTGGCTGTATCTGACTTGCGCCCTTGTCCTGGGTAGTCGCTATGGGATGGTCATGACTGTAATGCTGTCAGTGGGGTTGTGCGGGCCCTGCCACAGGGCCTTTGCTCATGCTGTCTTTGCCCCTCACCCTGACCTCAGAACGGCAGGTGTGTAGCAAAGGAAGAAGATGCCTAGCACTTAGACTGTGGTCCTGTCACTGAGTTTCTGTGAAGCTTTAGGCCATTCATATGACGTTTCTGGGCCTCAGTTTCCTCTTGGTATAAGGAAAGGTAGGATTAGACCAGTGGTTTTCAAATATGTGAGCAGTGGGCCTCTTTCGTCAAAAATACTCACACAGAGACCTAATATGCAGGACTCAAGGGGTAGAGTGAGGGTCTGGCAGGTAACGCAGACATGGGAGAGTGGACCTCTGAGTGTGGGGACATGGGGACTGGTCCCTGATGACTGTTACTGTGCAGAAATGTAAGACCAGCATGGCAACATCTTCTGATCTTCAAAGACCTAAAGTTCATCTTCGTGATTTTTCACATGCTGGCAACTCATTTTTTAAATTAAACTTTTTATTTTGAGATCATTGCAAATTCAAGTGCAGTTGTAAGAAAAACAGAGAGATCCCATGTGCCCTTTGCCCAGACCCCCAGTGGTAATATCTTGCAAAACTGAAGCACAGTGTCAGAACTAGGGTGTTGACACTGACACAGTCCAGACACAGAGCATTCCATCCCCCAGCATCCCCCGGTTGCTGTTTTACAGCCACACCCTCCCCCTCCAGTGTCCACCCCCTTCTTAACCTCTGGCGGCCACTAATCTGTTATCTGTTCTCCATTTCTATAATTTCATCCCTTTCAGTGGTGTTCCATTGATGGAATCGCGCAGCACGTGGCCATTCTAGGGTTGGCTTTTTTCAATCAGCATAATTCCCTGGGGATTCATCC